GTCAGGTTGGCTGTATGGGGCCCCATGGTTTCCCCACGGTTTCTAACAGCAGCCTTGCCCCTGCTACACCACCACAGTGATCTCCAGTAGCTTCTGTGTCCTGTGCTGAGTGGTTGCCCTGCTGCAGTATGAACACAGGAGGCCAGCTGCTTGGCACAGGCACCATTCAGAGAATGCTTTGCATTTTCTTATTGAAAGCAAAGGGTTCTCTGGCTGATGTGTAGGGAGTCCTGTCACCACCCTGCCTCTTCACCTTGTCCAATCAGTGAATGATTTTCTTTCATTGAGAAAATGCAAAGCCTTCTCTGAATTCCACTGGTGCCGAGCAGCTGACCTCCTATGTTTACAATGCAGCAGGGCAGCTGCTTGGCACAAGACCTAGATGCCAGTGGAGATCACTGTAGTAGCGGTGTCTGCTTCAGTGATTCCCACCTTCTAGAGCATTGGTCTCCAAACTGCATCCCAGGGGCCCGATACGATCCATTCCTTGCTTTTATGTGACCCTTGTGCACTATTCCATCTACTGATGCTAACATTTGCGCATATGTCCTCCCACTGATGCCAACAATGGGGCACATTTCTTCCCACTGATACCACCAATGGGGCACTATTCCTACCACTGACACAAAGGATGGGGCACATTTCTTCCCACTGATACCAACAAAGAAGAACATAATCATGCTTCAGTGGAGGGGCAGACTGACCATTTGGGAACTTGGGCACTGCCTGAGGGCCCGGGGTCAGTAGGGGGCCCCATGAGATGCCCCAGGTACCTTTCATAAGCTTTTTTGGGTGTGGTTTAAGTGTGGGCAAGGACACAGGGGCCCCATGATCCCCTATTGCCCGGGGGCCCCATGAGTTGTCAGTCCGCCCCTGCTTCAGTGATTCCCACCTTCTAGAGCAGTGGTCTCAAAAACTGCAGCCTAGGGGCCCAAAACAATCCATTCCTTGCTTTTATCTGACCCTTGGGGCACTATTCTATCTACTGATGCTAACATTTGCGCATATGTCCTCCCACTGACGCCAATGATGGGGCACATTTCTTCCCACTGGTACCAACAATGGGGCACTATTCCTACCACTGACACCGATGGTATCAGTGGGAAGAATTGTGCTCCATTGTTGTTATCAGTTAGGAATAGTGTCAGTTGGTTAGTGTTAGGAATAGTGTCCCATTGTTGGTATCGGGGGAGGAATAGTGCCCCATCATTGGTATCAGTGGGAGGAATAGTGCCCCATTGTTGGTATCAGTGTTAGGAATAGTGTCCCATTGTTGGTATCAGTGGGAGGAATAGTGCCCCATTGTTGGTATCAGTGGGAGGAATAGTGTCCCATCATTGGTGTCCCAGTGGGAGGAATATTGCCCCATTGTGTCATCAGTGGGAGGAATATTGCCCCATTGTTGGTATCAGTGGGAGGAATAGTGCCCCATCATTGGTATCAGTGGGAGGAATAGTGCCCCATTGTTGGTATCAGTGGGAGGAATAGTGCCCCATCATTGGTATCAGTGGGAGGAATAGTGCCCCATCATTGGTATCAGTGGGAGGAATAGTGCCCCATTGTTGGTATCAATGGGAGGAATAGTGCCGCATTGTTGGTATCAGTGGGAGGAATAGTGCCCCATTGTTGGTATCAGTGGGAGGAATAGTGCCCCATTGTTGGTATCAGTGGTAGGAGTAGTGCCCTATTGTTGGTATCAGTGGAAGGAATAGTGCCCCATTGTTGGTATCAATGGGAGGAATAGTGCCCCATTGTTGGTATCAGTGGTAGGAGTTGTGCCCCATTGTTGGTATCAGTGGGAAGAAATGTGCCCCAACAAAGAAGAACATAATCATGCTTCAGTGATTCTCACCTTCTAGAGCAGTGGCCTCCAAACTGCAGCCCAGGGTCCCGATACGATCCATTCCTTGCTTTTATCTGACCATTAGGGCACTGTTCCATCTACTGATGCTAACATTTTTGCATATGTCCTCCCACTGATGCCCACAATGGGGCACATTTCTTCCCACTGATACCAACAATGGAGCACTATTTCTACCACTGACACCAACGATGGTGCATTGTTTACTTTCACTGACATCAGGAAATTTTCTACTCCCTCTAGCCTTAGTCTGGCCCCCCTACATTCTGAGGAACAGTATAATGGCCCTTTGTTTAGAAAGTTATAGAGGGATTCACAGGTATGGTATATACATAGTTACATTGGCACAACCTGGATCAATGTAACTATGTCAAAATATGCATAATTGTAGTTCCTCTTTAAAGTGATTGTAAATCCAACCACTAATATCTCTTATCTCTAAAGGAAGCCTGTAATAAAATAAAGTTGGTCTGGTCATTAAAGTGTCAGGGCAGGAGCCGAGGAACAGACAGGCAGGCCTAACAATGTAACGCACTGGCTGACAACAACCACCACCCACAGACCGAAGTCCCTCAGGGCGCGGAGTCTAAGTCCCAGGCTGCCCTTCACCAGGGCCCCTGATGGTGGGGGTGGACTTGACGCAGCCAGGAACTAGGTCGCGGCCCCCGAGACACCTCAGCTGCGGTAATGGCCGCCGCCAATGGCGTGTAGCTGGTGGAAGAGACAAAAGAGTAGTCAGACAGGCCGGGGTCAACAACAACAGGACAAAACCGTACAGGACAGCAGACGAGAATCACAGGTCACGAGTCGGGTTCAGCAACAGAGGGTCAGATCAAAGGAGAATACAAAGAATAGTCAAGTCACAAGCCGAATCGGATACCAGGAGAGTCACGAGAGTCAGAACAGAGTAATAGCAACACAAAGACACAAGTGCAAAGAGCATGTGCGGGCCACAGGCTTATATGTCATCAGCCACGCCCCTCTGGGGGGTGGACCTCAGAGACCTGAAGGCATAAAAAGGATTCCCACCATGCACAGCAGAATCCAAGATGGATGCCAGCACATGGAGTAACAACCTCAGGGAAAAGGTAGGACCTTGACATAAAGGACCCTGATATCTTCCCACGTCAACCTACTTCCAGTTTCTGCTCTATTCCAATTGGCTTGGAGAGTACGCCAAGGATGAGAATGCCACAAGTCTTGGCGAGACAAATAAAACTTTTTTCGTGATAGGTCAGCAAAAAAATTTATCGTGTTTCAGGGGCCCAATATTCCTTCATCAGGGCTTACATTGGCAGTAATGGGTGATAATACTGGACAAGAACTGCAAAAGAAGAACAGAAGAATGGTGATTCAAGTTGCCGGTCTGGCAGATTGGCAACCCAAATCCATGATTATGTTCTTCTTTTTTTGCTATGTTGATCTTGCATAGTTACATAGTTAGTCTGGCTGAAAAAAGACAAAAGTCCATCCAGTTTAACCAAAAAAAAAGAGTTATAATCCTACACCCACAGTTGATCCAGAGGAAGGCAAAAAAACCCAGCAAAGCACGATCCAATTTGCTCCTGCAGGGGAAAAAATCCTTCCTGATCCCCCTGGATTCTGTCCAGTGTTCTCTCCCATCACTGACAGTATAAGCCCTGATGAAGGGGGTGTTTTGAGCCCCAAAGATGCATTGGCTGAGATTTTGAGCTTCAGGCCAGCTCCCCTTTGAGAGCTGGGATACTCTCTTCCCTCCAACCAAAGTCCATATAAATGCTTCAGGAACTCATACAGACTGTAACGGAACCGACCCAGACTGCGCTTGAGAACTTCTGTTAGACTACTGCTTCCCCTTCCAAACACCGACCACAGATACCACAGCCGACCATACAAGACTAGACAACACCAGTCTTCAAGTAAACTAGGAGGATCCCGGGTGACATCTGGCCTTAACCATCCCAAAATCCAGAGGAGGGATATCCATACCAGGCTGCACATTCATCCCACCTTAAAGGGGACCTCTGGCTGATTCCAACATATTGTTACACTGTGCATTTTAAATGCGCATCTGGTGAGTGTGCATTATTATCATATTCCGCACGTCACCGGATTATCTGTATATGAATTATTGGAATATTTGAATATATTACTCTACTACACTACACTTCGGGATCAGATTATATATCACGAAAGGACAATTTATATATCCTTTTTTTTTGGGACAATTATTCATCACTTTATTTATTCATTAATTTATTTATCAATGTTTTTTATTCACTTGTACCATTATAATCACACACCAGTTCACCCTGGATTATTTATTTATTTGTTTATCACATTTTATACTCATTTCTCGGAATATTGATATATCTAGCGCTTTATATTTATATTTTATTTCATCAGTTGTGAATTTTATGTTGATATCATAGCGCTGCACTTTTACAATTTTGTAGGCTTTTTCTTCTGGTTGCTTGTCATTTTTATAAATACACCCCTAAAACTTGGGACATTCTCTTGCAATGCTGCATACCCTCCAGACTGCTCCATGGGCCTCATGTCTGACAGGACCACCTCCTAAGAGTTGAATTTGTAGACCTGATTTCTTGTATTTCTGGGTTCGGCTCTCCACCAACCAGGGGCGGACTGACAACTCATGGGACCCCCAGGCAATAGGGGATCATGGGGCCCCTGTGTCCTTGCCCAAACTCAAAAAAGCCTATAAAAAAGGTACCAGGGGCGTCTCATGGGGCTCCCTAATGACCCCGGGCCCTCAGGCAGTGCCGAGTTTCCAAATGGTCAGTCCGCCCCTGCCACCAGCATATCCTTTTGTCATTCTCATTGACTTGTAAGAGGCGAGGCAGTTCTGGAGCAGGGGCGGACTGACCATTTGGAAACTCGGGCACTGCCCGAGGGCCTGGGGTCAGTAGGGGGCCCCATGAGATTCCCTTCATACCTTTTTCATAGGCTTTTTTGAGTGTGGCCGAGGACACAGGGGCCCCATGATCCCCTATTGCCCGGGGGCCCCATGAGTTGTCAGTCCGCCCCTGTTCTGGAGTGAACAAAAAGCCTACAAACACAAGCCCCTAATACAGATGAATTTCAGATTATTGAATAAAGAACATTTCAGTTGTGCATTTTTTCTGTATTTTTATTATAGGGCAGAGGAGTACGGGCCGCTTTTTCGAATAAATATTTTGCACTACGTGGCGATCTGGCCTACGGATCCTGAATCTGTGAAGGTGAGAAGCCGGCTGATCTTCTTCATCCTGCAAGGAAATGCAAAAATGCCTTTATCGCTGTGCATTGCGAGCCGTCATCTCAGATTCAGGTCACAGTAAATACTGCTTTGTTTTTAATAAACCTGACTGCACTGACGGCCAGATGTACAGAGCAGCTCCCTCTGTCTCCACTGCCTAGAGCCATCTGCCCAGGTTCACACCGGATTCGACTTTGAATTGAGTTGCATGTCGGCGCGACTTCAGATGCGACTTGAAAGATATTTGTGCGACTTCATGCAAGGCGCACCTGAAGTTGCAAAAAGTTGTGCAGGAACTACTTTCAAAATCAGGGCGATGGATATAGGGTGCGACTTGTCATGTGGTTTGATTTACATGACCTGTCAGACCGGTGTGAATCTGAGCTAAAGGATGATTTCTGTACTGCAGTGCACTCATGTAATTACTAGAGGAAGAGACCACAAACTGCTGCAAACCTGATAGCCTAAATTTAGCCAAGTCCGAACAGGATATTGTGAAAAGTAGATTTTACATCTAGAGTGATTCCTAACACCTTCCTTGTTCCCAGTCCTGATTTGAAATATGCCACGGTTTAACCCCTCGCCCTCCAGAGGATTTACCCCCCTTCCTGACCAGGCCATTTTTTAATTTACAGCACTGCATTACTTTAACTGACAATTATGTGGTCATGCAATGCTGCACCCAATTTAAACTTATGTCCTTTTTTTTTTTTTTTTTATTCCCACGAATTGAGCTTTCTTTTGGTTGTATTTGATTGCCTGTGTGGTTTTTATTTTTTGGGCTATAAAAAAAAAAAGAGAGAGACCAACAATTTAGAGAAAAAAACAGTATTTTTGACTGTTTCCTGTTAAACATGTCCAGTAAAGAAATTGAAAAAATTAAATTTCATCATAAATTTTCACCAAAATGTATTCTGCTCCATGTCTTTGCTAAAAAAAAAAAAAAAAATACGTGTAAATTAATTGGTTTACGTGATAGTTATAGTGTTTACAAATGGCGGTATAGATACTGGAATTTTTTTCTTTTTTTTTACTAATAATGCGGTAATCAGCGATTTATAGCAGGACTGCGGGATTGCTGTGGGCATTCTGACACTGGGGGGAACTAACTTGGTGTCACTGTCATCCTCAGTGACACCAATACAGTGATCAGTGCTAAAAAAAAAAAAAAAAAAAGAAAAATCACTGCCATTGTACTAATGGCACTGGGCAGGAAGGGGTTAACATGAAGGGCAATCAAAGGGTTAATTATGTGCTGGGAGTGTTTTACTCAGGGGCAATGTGTGTGTGCTTCACTGTAATCACACTGCCCTGGATGGCTGTGCACAGCACAGCCATCCAGAGCAGTGTGCCCAGGCCAACAGGCACAAACTAGCCCTCCTCCCTGTCGGAGATGCTCGGTAATCACCGTCCGGGACCCATTGATTGACGGCTGAGAATGGCGGCAGGGGTAGGGCACACGTGCGGCTCACACGCGCCCCCCTACCAAGCGATGCAAAAAAACTTTTATATATACGTGCAGGGGGGCGGACTGACCATTTGGAAAAGGACTCTGGCACTGCCCGAGGGCCCGGGGTCAGTAGGGGCTCCATGAGATGCCCCTGGTACATTTTTCATAGGCTTTTTTGAGTTTGGCCAAGGACACAGGGGCCCCATGATCCTCTATTGCCCGGGGGCCCCATGAGTTGTCAGTCCGCCCCTGATTGCAAACCAATATTTTCATTGTCCTTGGCCTGTGATGACAGCTTCTAAACTGGATCTAGCATCCAATATACTTTTGCATGTTGAAGTGCACGCATGCTAAGTAAGGTGTCAGTGTAACCCTTCCAGGTTTTTATTACCTCCCAAGACAACACAGCACCTCCCCCCATCAATGGCTTTATCTGCTGTTCTCCCCAGCAGGATGGTGCCATCATTGTTCCGGCATTATCCAGTGCTGCCATCTCTATCCTGGACTGAGATGCCTGCTTAGAGATGACAATCATGTCCATTAGGGTGCCTGTGAGGTTCTTGTGGCAGTCTGATCACTTGCGAAGATGAAATTGAGGAAATGCTTCCTCCTACCTGCAGCAGACTGATGGCATCTCAGTCTAGGCCAGGGGTAGGCGACCTGCGGCTCTCTAGCTGTTGTGGAACTACATTTCCCATGAGGCATTGCAAAGATTATTACAAAACTGACAGTTACAGCTATGACTTGCAGAGGCATGATGGAACTTGTAGTCTTGCAGCTCTCGGGTTGCCTACCCCTGGCCTAGGCAAAGCCCATGCCTGTAGTTCAAGGATGACTTTTTATTGATTAAAAGGTGGAGCTTTTCTGAAAAATGATCCTGTATATTGTGAAATCCCAGGAACTCTTGCTGATCTGAAGTTACTGAAATGTCCATTTTAAATCAACAGGAAACAATTGCAATTTTTAATGGGGCTTTGAGACTTCAGTTATCATTTTTCACTGTGACACTTTGTGCGCTCCATAGTGAATTTTCCACCCCCGTACGCTTCTGTTGCCAGTTATATTCAGGTTCAGCTGATTCCTATGTTCTCTTTTTGATGTGATTTTGCCCAGAGTAATAGAAACACTTTATCTGATTGTTGTGTAAATGGAGTCCCTTTTTTCAGGACTAATTCCCTGTAATCTCTCTACAGAAGTACATGATGTCACCAGATTACCCCAAAGACCCAAACACCTACGAACGTCTATTTAATCTGTTCGGTAAGAGGTAAGTCAGCATTTTACAATGGTGCATACCACACAGTGGCCAAATCTATAGAGACTCCTCTCCAAAGAATGGCATTCAGAGGTCTCCAGTAAAGGTCCTGTTAATACTACATCATACAAAGATGTTTTAGATAATTGTTCTCTTCCGTCCTTGTGGTGACAGTTTGGTGAGGACCCTTTTCTGTTTCAGCATGCGTGTGCCCCTGTATACAAAGCCAGCTCCATAAAGACATGGTTTGGCCAGTTTGGTGTGGAGGAACTCTTGTGTCGCGTGTCCTGCACAGAGTTCTGACCTCAACCCTACTGAACCTCTTTGGGATGAATTGAAACACCAATTGTGGGCCAAGTCGTTTCATCCAACATCAGTACCTGACCTCATCAATGGGCACAAATTCCCACAGACACCTTCCAAAATCTTGTAGAAATCCTTTACAGAAGAGTGGAGAATATTATACTACGGCAATCCTCCATTATATCCATGGCCTTTAATATGGCCACATTATTGGCCATGGTTTTGGAATGGGATGTCAACAAGCTCATATAGGTATGATGGATTAACATTCACGTTAGTGTTTAAATATGTAAATAAAGGGAGATGTACATTCCCCAATGATCTTATAGTTTACCAGAATATTTCCAAGAGGACCTGTCCGTTTAATGTTTTTTTTTCTTTTCTTTTAAACTCCATTTTTTATTTATTTATTTTTTGTTTCTGTCCACTCTAGATTGTTGCTTAGTTTTGGGTAGTGGCTTTGCAAACAATTTATCATTGGAATAAACTTGTATCTGGACTTGAATAATACAGTGTGCCACTTTGATTCTAAATTCACTCATCCCTAATATAACCCAGAGTCATCATGGAAGCCCTTCAGTGTGCAGAAGCCTCCAGCTGAATGTTCAGATTCTCTACATTTACAATATTGCCATACTATTGGATGAGAACAATAATATAAGTAAACATATGCGGAATCCTCATGGTTCAGCACCTCTTATCCACTTTCCCAAGCATCAACCAGAGAATGACTGACAGAGATGTACCCATCTTGGAGATAAATTTGTGTATCCCTGAGACTTCAATCTTCCTCCCAATTTGTCTGCACATATGTGGTGAAAGTTCAATTCTTATTTTTCTATTCCAACCTGGGGTGCTATTTGGGCTCTCCTGGGGTGCTGTGGGCACCCAACCCAGTTTGCCCTGGATTAACTCCTTGAGTTGCCATAGTGTGGGAAGGCTAGCCTCCAACAAAATAACAACCATTGACGCTTTAGGGTCGGTATACACAGCATCATTTGTTGCTATTGTGTTGGCCCTCCTACTGATTCCAGGGCAGGTGGTATGTAGCCCCCCCCCCCCCCCCCCCCCCCCCCCCGGTATTAAGGAGAAGATGGAAATTCTCCAGATCTTCTCCACCTCCCATCCTCTGCCACATTATAGGAGCCAAAAGATAGCACTCTGATGTGAAGAGGGGACTGTGTGATGGGGGGGGGGGGGGGGGGACTGTGATGGGTGAGACACTGTGATTGAAGAGCTCTGTGATGGATAACTGCAATTGGTGGGCTTAATGATCAGGGACTGTGTGATTAGTGGGCTCTGTGATGGGGGAACTGTGATTTGATGGTGGCCTCTCCTATACAGGGAGGTCTCTGATGAATTGGGGGGACTCTGATGTGAAAGGAGGCTTTTGAAGTTAATTTCATAAATGCAATGGTGTGCATTGTCTCAGGCTCAGGTTTCCATTTTAAACTGGGTTGCCTCGAGATTTTGCATACTTTAAAAGGGTACTGAAACTGAAAAAAGTTAAGAGACACTGGGCTATTCAAAGAGGTCGACTGAAAATCTTTGTGCGATGATGATGGCTTCCACCAGTCAGAAGTGCTGCATGGAAAAGCTACTGCATTTCCTTGGAGCCTGCTTACTGCAAGTGATACTTAAAGCAACTGAATCACTAGTTTTTATTGGTAATCTATAGCTACCTATGGCTGGACATAGATTTAAGTGTGGTTGGATGTGAAGGCATTATCCAATCACCGGCATGTGAAGACTGAAAAAAAAAAAAACAAGAGTACTAAGCAAACTTAGTGTACAAGTTTGTCAATAGATTTACCTATGGGGAAACTACTTACTGTATCCCGCACGGACAGCCTGATAAAGCAAAGGCATAAAATGGTTGGACAATCCAGCTAAACACAATCCAGATCAGTAAATGGTCATTCTATGTCTGTGGGTGATTTTTCTCAGGACTCTAGCATAGAAAGTCACAGTGGAAAGGGCAAATGTCTTCAATTCCAGTTGATGCTGGGGCCATGATAGGTAAAGTTGAAATAGGGGGAATAAAAACCCCCTCTGGTAGCCTGAAGATGTGGCTCTTACTACAACACAGGGAGCATCTAACCAATATGACTGATGACGCTGCCATGTTTGCATATTTACCAACATTATGGTTGCAAACCCTGTGACACTGTTAACGCCCAAGGTCTGTGTTTTGTCTAACCACTTTCCAACCACCAGGTCAGTGTTCCCAAATAATCCTCATTTTATGGGTTGGTCCCATTCAGACTCTGTGATGAAGCCCACTCATCAAGCCCACTTTATGGGTTGGTCCCCCCAGACACCTCATCCAAGTATGTGGGGGTTGCCCACTTGGAGACCTGATTCCCCTTCCCCCACCCAACTGATGTCTTTCGAGTTACTGTGCATGTGTAGTACCTCAAATAAAATTGATGTGATCCCAGGACTTGCCTCGGGACACAGAATTTGTAGTACTGTCCTGGCCAATGCAGGACAGTTTGTATGTGTGTGTTTGCTATTACAAATCCTGAGGTGCATATGTGTCCCTGTTTTTCCTCTGCTCTGCAGGTTCTGGGGGAAAGGGCTGCTGACCGATCCAGACCACCAGCACTGGTATAAACAGCGGCGCATCATGGACCCTGCATTCAGCCACACGTGAGTCTAGCCAAATGAAGGGCCTTTATATTCCACAGGACAAGATAAGTGCCAGTGTGCATTTGTATTAGTTTCTAAAGAATGCCTCTACTTTTTCTGTAAATCTTTACAACCTTCTCTGTAATAATCCAAAAGTTATAGGTTTTCATGTGTAACCAGGTGCTGGGACACAGCAATATGGCGATGGAGACATTGCCTTTCATTCTCTCCCTCTACTGAGATATCGATGTTATGCTGCACTATTCTCCTCCAGCCAACAGGGGGAGTGTGCTAAAGCCAAGCAAGCCAATAGACTTTTGTGCAGGGTGCTGAGAATTCTGGGAGTGGTAGTTTGAGACTGCAGACATATATTGGGGCCAATTGACTACTTTAGGCTACAGATCCCAATAAGCACTGTGCAGGTGAGAGATGTTTATTAAACTGCCCTGGACAGTTCTTCCTCTTGGTGCCAAGGGAATTAGAGAGCACCTATGTCTGAGGTGACCATACCAGCGAAGAGCCGAGCCTGAGACTGGGAGTAAGGAAATCCGGGTCCAGCACAACACCTGCACCGCTGCCACAGGGAGACACGAGCATCCACTCACCTTCTACTTTCCACCACTTATCACCGAAGGCCTTTGAGGAGAGACCAAAGGGTCTCCCTTCTACAGCGAGAGGTTACCACAGCATCCCAAGGACTGGTGAGAAGGCTATTCGTCCACTGCTGATACTGCTAGCAGGGGCTGAGCCACTAAGAGCAGGACACCAAATGGAACCAATTCATACTGCACTCTATACCGCACTTGTTCCAAACCTAGACTGCACAAACTACCTACCAACCCTATACCTCATTATACCAAACGTTTGCTGCGTCTGAACCATATCTACCTGTAATGAGACTATACCATACCTACACCGCATGCAGGTTAACTGGGACTGTCGTTACGTGCACCAATATTCTTAAAGGGCCCCAACGGTAGCTGACAGAAGAACATCCCAACAGGCTGCCCCTTCCATAATAATTATTCTGCAAGTCCATTTTGTTACAAAGAAACACATCTGCCAGCAGATGGTGCTGTGCATATGCAGTATAGATGGTGAAGCCTGGCAGAGTCTCCAAGATGTCCAGGATCAGCACGTGTGGCGTCTGACGTCATCAAAATGTGACGCGCTTCTGAGCATGTGCGCGACGAGAGGAGTCCAGGTGTGCTCTTTCATCGGGCAGGAGCCAACCACCTATGCTGCATATGCATAGCACCATCTGCTGGCAGACACCTTGCGGATTCCACCAGACTTACCATCCATGTTGCACATGCACAGCACCAACTGTTGGCGGACTTGATCGATCTCCTCTCTGGATCAGTCACACCCTCTTACCAATGAGCCCGTTTTAAAATTCTAAGATATGAGTTACTACTTATCTTTCTATTAAATACCTTCACAGTACACACTTAGAGGCGCTGTGTTTCTTTGTTTCCCTTCTGCAGAGTTCTGCTTCGCTCCTACACAGCTTGCCCTTAGTGCCTACTGGACTACCCTTACCCCTGCCCATCTGGAACTCCTATCAAACATCAAACATACATGGACTGCCACACCATGCGCCTGTTATTACTTTTGTATTAAGTCTCGTTTCTTACCCTGTCTGTTTTTTTTTTTAAAGTGATACGCTGATAAACTAATTTTATTGAAAAAACAAATGCATATGCACTCGCAGGCATGCCCCTGACGACATAACACGTATGGGCGGAGCTAATTGCTCCAGGAGAGTATGTGTGATTTCCTGCAGCTTTCATGTTCGATCCATCCCTGGGCGGTGTTCTGACATCCAGTGGTGACAGTGGTGAGGTCAGCAGCAGTAGATTCACAACATATAAAGGAGCTTGGTTTAACCATTTATGTGAGTTCATGTGCATTTGTTTTTTCAATACAATGAGCAGATCAGTGAGCTCTATAGATTTTCCCTTCTTTTTTTAGTTTGAGAATCTAGAGATTCTTATGGGGCAGTGAGAAAACCATCGGGGATTGACATCCTGGCTGAGTGTTTTCCTTCATTGATTGGGCCCATCTGGTTGAATTCAGCTCGCTGGATTGTGATCTGTGTACAACCCCTGGCAAAAAGTATGGAATCACCACTCTTGGAAAATGTTCATTCAACTGTTTAACCACTTACCGTCCAGCCCATGTACATAAACGGCTGGACGGGAACAGTGCAGGAGCAGGTGGCCATTTATAAACGTCCTCCCGCTTCCCTGCCTGTGGGCACTCCCTGGGAGCGCGCAGCACTGTGATCCGGTGCCCACTGTGTCTGGAGGACCTCTGTACGGACTTCCCATCTGGCCCATGTACATAAACGGCCAGACGGGAGCAGTGCAGGAGAGGGTTTGCCGTTCATAAACAGCGCCAGGGGCGGACTGACAACTCATAGGGCCCCCCCCTGAGCAATAGGGCATCATGGGTCCCCTGTGTCCTTGCCCACAATCAAAGCACACCCAAAAAAGCCTATAAAAGGTACCAGGGGCATTTCATGGGGCCCCTTACTGACCCCGGGCCCTCGGGCAGTGCCCGAGCGCCTGAATGGTCAGTCTGCCCCTGAATGGCCACCCGCATTTTCAGGCTGTGAGTGCTCCCTGGGACACAGCGGAACACCAATAGCTGTACGGGGTCTCTGTGTGAGGTCTCGATCATGTGATCACTGAGTGGCCAATCGGTGATCACATGAATAGTAGTAAGCAAGATGTCACTTCCTGACATTTGTTTACTACATGTGAAATCTGTGAATGATCAGAGATCACATGGTACAAGGCTATTCACAACAGCCTTGTACCATGTGACAAGCTGTGACCAATCACAGCTCTCACAGTATTTCTCAATGGTTGCAAGAATGCAGCCAGAGAGAAAAAGAAATGATTGCGTTTACAGCCTTTATGGGTGTAAAAGCAATCTGTGTAAAAAAAAAAAAAAAAAAAAAAAACAAAAAAAAAATCTTCATCACCCCCCCCCCCCAGTTGTACAGTGTCATTATGGTGACACTGTACTGCAAGGGTGACAGTATGTTAAAAAAAAAAACATAATTATATAAAAAAATAAAAATAAAAATGTTAAAAAAAATGTTTGAAAAATTATAATTTTGGTAATTTTGGTTATAAACTGTTTTGGTTATAAAGTGTTTTGTTAACAGTCCTCCTCCCTGTCATATATGAGTGCTGCCTGTCAATGCCCATCAGTGCCACCTACCAGTGCCTCCTCATCAGTGCCACCTACCAGTGCCTCCTCATCAGTGCCACCTACCAGTGCCTCTTCATCAGTGCCCATCACTGCAGCCTAATTAGCGCACATCAGTGAAGGAGAAAAATCACTTATTTACAAAATTTTATAACAGAAAGTAAAGAAAAAAGTTTTTTTTTTTCAAAATTTTCTGTTTTTGATTTGTTTAACAAAAAATAAACCCCGAGGTGATTAAATACCATCAAAATAAAGTTCTATCTGTCTCAAAAAAATGATGCAAATTTCATATGGGTCCAGTGTTGCATGACCGTGCAATTGTCATTCAAAGTGCAACAGCGCTGAAAGCTGAAAATTGGCCTGGACTGGAAGGGGGTGAAAGTGTCCGGTAGGCGAGGGGTCAAACAACTGAAAGATTTCATAATTTTTGCCAGGGGTTGTTCTTGGAGTTTCATGCAATTTTTGACCTTTAGGCTCCATGCGCACTGGGGGGGGTGGCGTTTTGATAACACTGGTAATTTTAGCTGTGTAAAGTCATGTTAAAAATATGAGTTTTTCAGCGTTTTTTTAGCATTTTTGTGTTAGCGTTTAGCGGCGTTTTTCCACGTTTTTCACGTTTGCATTTTTCAGCGTTTTTTTTTTTTTTTTTTTTTTTTTTTATCCCTCCCCAAATTGATTCCAGTCTATGTGTACATGGACACATAGGATATCATGCTGGGGGGTTTGCTAGCTGTAGAAAAAAACCTCAAAAGCCAAAAACAGCCGCTGTAAAAACGTCCCGTGTGCATGAGGACTTATGGTGAGGATCAGTCAGGTGAGAGCACACCCTTGGGGTACCTAGTGGAAGGCTGGTGTCACTCACCTTTAGCATGCTTTTATATTGATTGTCAGCACTGGTTGACATTTGGACTTTTGTGAGTTTTGTGGACTTTGATCTCATTACTACATTGTTGGTTTTCTAATATCTACATTCACTTTACAGCATCAGCATTTTGCTTTACATGATGTGTTTTATGTACATTTATAACATGGCTACTTTTGCAGGCCATAGACAGGTCCAGGGGCGGACTGATCATTTGGAAACTCGGGCACTGCCCGAGGGCCCGGGGTCAGTAGGGGGCCCCATGAGATACCCCTGGTACCTTTTTCATAGACTTTTTTGAGTTTGGGCAAGGACACAGGGGCCCCACAATCCCCTATTGCCCGGGGGCCTCCATGAGTTGTCAGTCCGCCCCTGGACGGGTCGAATTTTTGTCCGTACGAAAAATCAGCCGATATTCATGTCGTTAGTGGGGCCAGCCCGTCGGCCGTTTTTCACAGATCTTCTCCTTTATTTTTATTGGTCATGCTGGAAAATCCACGAAAAACGGCCGTTTTTCGTAGACATTGGTGGTGGCAACGGCAACGACCGATTGTTCGTTTGTCGGCCAACAATTCGGCCAATAAACGGCCCGTCTATGGCCAGCCTTTGTTGAGGACTTTCAGCACATTATTATATTATTGGGCTTCATTATGTGATCATTGTTGATAGTGTTTTATAGTGTTTGTGTTTATTCACTGAGCCTTAGGTTTATTGGATGGTGTTTATATTCACTTTGCAAGAATGACACTTTGGGGGAGCTTTAAGCAGGCCATACACGGGTCGAATTCCGAATTATTTTTCAATCGAAAACATCGTTCATTCTGTAATCCGATGGTGCCACCAATGATTTTGAAAATCGGTCATATTTCACTAATTTTCCAGCATGCCCGATAAACGAAATGGATAGGAACCACATAAATGGGCCGGTGCCATTGCCCCACTAACCCCCGGTTCACATCTATGCGGCCGCGCGTGGGCCATGTTTTGCGCAGACACGGGAGCCCATTCATTTTAATGGATTCTCTGGTAACACGCAGGGAAGAAGTTCCTGCACTACTTTGGAAAACGCAGCCCGCATAGGAACCTTAGTTTCCAGTACTGTTGCGTTTTCCAGTGCGGGCGGTGTGCCATTAGAACTAATGGCACCCACCCGCGGATCCGTATTTCTCTGTGCGGGTGGTGCACAGATTTTCGTATGGATCCACAGCGGCACCCCCCGCACAGATGTGAACCTAGGGTTACAGAGCGAAAATCGGCCGATTATTCTTAGGTCAGATTTTCGAACGAAAATTTGACCAGGGTCAGACTGACCATTTGGAAACTTGGGCACTGCCCGAGGGCCTGGGTCAGTAGGGGGCCCCATGAGATGCCCCTGATACCTTTTTCATAGGCTTTTTTGAGTTTGGGCAAGGACACAGAGGCCCCATGATCCCCTATTGCCCGGGGGCCCTATGAGTTGTCAGTCCGCCCCTGAATTTGACCAATGTATGCCCAGCATGGAGCACTCAGAATCTGGAGCAGCTGTGCATGGCGGCCAATCAGCTTCTAACTTCAGCTTGTTCAATTACGCTTTGACAATAAATTCTGAAATCTGATTGGGTACTGTGCAGAGCTGCACCGGATTATGTCTGCTCCAGTTTTATTACAAAACAAAGGGGGGGAGGGGATTTAATAAGAAGTACAGCACCTTTTCATAATTATTTTTTAGTTTGCACCATTTGTGCGAGCAGAAATTCAAATTTTTTTTTGTAGCACAAATCATATATTTTTATATTTAGGGCCGGTTCTCAATGAATGCGTTTCAGTTGCTTTTTTTCTGCATCCAAAATGCACAGAAAGTAGGTGATATGGTGGTCAATGTCATAGTTCACACCAGTGCTTGCAGTTCCAGTTACAGGAAAAAATAGAACAGGCTGCATTTTTCCTGCACAGAACTGTACTGGAACGCAGTAAAAAATGCACCAAAAACGTACTGGAGTGCACATGTCCCTAATTAGAAGAAAAAAAAAAGGGGACAAAATGAACTGGAATGCGTCAAAAATGCACCGGAACACATCAAAAACGCATCAGAACGCATCTGGACTGCGTTTCTATAGTGTGAAGTGACCCTAAGGGCTGGTTCACACTATAGAAACACAATCGGATGCATTCTGGATGCATTTCCGCATGCACACTTTTGACACGTCCGGTGCATTTTTTTATGCATTTTTGACACATTCCAGTGCGTTTTTTTTAATGTATTCCAGTTAATTTTTTACCCCTAATATATGATTGTTAAATAGTCCCACTTTATGATTTTTCTCTTTAACAATCATATATTTTTCTCTTTATGATTTTTTTGTATTATATATTTTTTTGTTGTTTATTTATTTGCCCTGTTTTTTTTATGTTTTTTTTGTTATTTTATTAGTGTTGTCACTAAGGAGCAGCATCATTTATTTGGGAATTATTTCACAATTATTTTTTGGCGCTGGTGATTTCTTATATAATTTTTAGGGTTTCTTTTACTATCTGGGGATTTCCCTTTGCCACTTGTCCTGCTGACAAAAGTTACACCGGGAAGTGAGGGGAAATTTGCAACCACAACACAGAAAAAAAAAAAATTCTAAATAACAATCCCAAGATTTTCCTATTCTTCTGTCTGTCTTGTAGAATTCCCCTCATTTCCTGCCTGGGGAAACCGTTCTCATGGGACAGGAAGTGAGGGAGAAATCTCTCTTGCAGCTCTTTAGTGAATATCTGGTACTTTTTATTCCCTTTGATTAATAATGAAAATAGTTTTTTTATACAGAATGTCTGATTTTTCTTTCAGGTATCTAATGCAGATGGTGGGAGTGTTTAATGAAAAGGCTGAGGAGCTGATGGGACAGTTGGAAGAGAAGGCGGATGGGAAGCAGCACGTGAGCATGCATTCATTGATCAACCGCGTCACACTGGATGTCATCACCAAGGTGAGCTGGGCGACCAGAGGCCAGAGATGTATGATCTGTCCTGAGGAACTACACATCTAAGCATGCCTTCAACAGCTGGAGAGGCATTGATTGCCCAACATGTTTTCTGAGTGGATTGGGCCCTCATCACACCATTCTGTTCCAGTGTGTACTGGAAGGGGCCACTTCTTCACTGAACACAAATGTTAGGGGTCACTCCTACACTGACTACCATTGTAGGGGGTAACTTCTTCACTGACCACCAATGTAAGGGGTCACTCCTACACTGACTACCATTGTAGGGGGTAACTTCTTCACTGACCACCAATGTAAGGGATCACTCCTACACTGACTATCATTGTAGGGGGCCAACTTCTTCACTGACCACCAATGTAAGGGGTCACTCCTACACTGACTATCATTGTAGGGGGCCACTTCTTCACTGACCACCAATGTAAGGGGTCACTCCTACGCTGACTACCATTGTAGGGGGTAACTTCTTCACTGACCACCAATGTAAGGGGTCACTCCTACGCTGACTACCATTGTAGGGGGTAACTTCTTCACTGACCACCAATGTAAGGGGTCACTCCTACACTGACTCCATTGTAGGGGGCCACTTCTTCACTGACCACCAATGTAAGGGGTCACTCCTACGCTGACTACCACTGTAGGGGGTAACTTCTTCACTGACCACCAATGTAAGGGGTCACTCCTACACTACCATTGTAGGGGTAACTTCTTCACTGACCACCAATGTAAGGGGTCACTCCTACGCTGACTACCATTGTAGGGGGCCACTTCTTCACTGACCACCAATGTAAGGGGTCACTCCTACACTGACTACCATTGTAGGGGGCCACTTCTTCACTGACCACCAATGTAAGGGGTCACTCCTACACTACCATTGTAGGGGGCCACTTCTTCACTGACCACCAATGTAAGGGGTCACTCCTACACTACTATTGTAAGGGGCCACTTCTTCACTGACCACCAATGTAAGGGGTCACTCCTACACTACCATTGTAGGGGGTAACTTCTTCATTGACCACCAATGTAAAGGGGTCACTCCTACGCTGACTACCATTGTAGAGGGGCCACTTCTTCACTGACCACCAATGTAAGGGGTCACTCCTACACTACCATTGTAGGGGGCCACTTTTTCACTGACCACCAATGTAAGGGTCACTCCTACACTACTATTATTGTAGGGGCCACTTCTTCACTGACCACCAATGTAAGGGGTCACTCCTTCACTGACTACCATTGTAGGGGGTAACTTTTTCACTGACCACCAATGTAAGGGGTCACTCCTACACTGACTACCATTGTAGGGGGCCACTTTCTTCACTGACCACCAATGTAAGGGGGTCACTCCTACGCTGACTACCATTGTAGGGGGTAACTTCTTCACTGACCACCAATGTAAGGGGTCACTCCTACGCTGACTACCATTGTAGGGGGTAACTTCTTCACTGACCACCAACGTAAGGGGTCACTCCTACACTGACTACATTGTAGGGGGTAACTTCTTCATTGACCACTAATGTAAGGTGTCCATTTTACACTGAACAATAATGTATGGGGTCACTTTTCCACTGAACGCCAATGTAAGGGGAAACCTGTCCTCTGACTACCAACATAAGGGGTCACCTCTACTCTTGTTGGTAATGTCAGAGGTCACTTCTACTTTGACTGCCAATGTGAGGGAAAACGTCTACACTGACAGCCTATTTAAAGGATAAGTTCACATTTCATCACACTTCCCGAGCCCCCATTGTGACAGCGGGGGGGGGGGGGGGGAATCTTCTCCCTGCACCTGCTGTCAAGAGCGCAGCCATGTGGGGCATCGCCCACCTCATTCAGACTTCTGTGAATGAATGAACTACAATTACCCTCAGCCACTGTAGAAACATTCATTTTTAGCAGTGGTTCTCTGAGACCCAACCATTGTTTCAGAGTTTCCTCCATGGTAAAATGGTTGAGAAACGCTTATCTAGCTGTTAGCTTCACACAACTTCTTGGAGAAAGGCCGCCTCCTCTGAAAATGGCACAAGAAGCTGCAAATCTGGATCCAGACCCTTATTGTAGACCGGCCCATTCAGGAACAGGTTGGATTATCTTCCTATAATATGTTGCATTTTCACATGAAATGATACTATGTATGATCGGACCATAATCTGTATAATCCCTCCTGAATAGGTGGCTTTCGGCATGGATCTCGGTTTGGTAGAGGGAAACAAGACCCCATTTCCAGAAGCCATTTCCACAGTTCTGAAGGGAATGTTAAAATATATCCAGAACCCATTCATGCAGGTAGGAAATTCCTATCTGTCTGCAGAGTTTTATATGTCTTGTTTATTTACCTGTCCAATGTTCGTCTAGAACAGGGGTCTCCAAACTGCGACCTGAGGGCTGGATGTGGTCCTTTGCTACCCTTTATCTGGACCTTGGGGCACTATTCCTCCAACTGAGACCAACAATGGGACAGCACTTATTCCCATGAAACCAATGATGATGTACTATTCTTCCCATGAAACCAATGATGGTGTACTATTCTTCCCATGAAACCAATGATGGTGTACTATTCTTCCCATGAAACCAATGATGGTGTGCTATTCTTCTTCCCATGATACCAATGATGGTGTGCTATTCTTCCCATGAAACCAATGATGGTGTGCTATTCTTCCCATGAAACCAATGATGGTGTGCTATTCTTTCCATGAAACCAATGATGGTGTACTATTATTCCCATGAAACCGATGATGGTGTACTATTCTTCCCATGAAACCAATGATGGTGTACTATTCTTCCCACTAATACCAATGATGGTGTACTATTATTCACATGAAACCAATGATGGTGTACTATTCTTCCCATGAAACCAATGATGGTGTACTATTATTCCCATGAAACCGATGATGGTATACTATTCTTTCCATGAAACCGATGATGGTGTACTATTCTTCCCATGAAACCAATGATGGTGTACTATTCTTCCCACTAATACCAATGATGGTGTACTATTATTCACATGAAACCAATGATGGTGTACTATTCTTCCCATGAAACCAATGATGGTGTACTATTCTTTCCATGAAACCAATGATGGTGTACTATTCTTTCCATGAAACCAATGATGGTGTACTATTCTTTCCCATGAAACCAATGATGGTGTACTATTCTTCCCATGAAACCAATGATGGTGTACTATTATTCCCATGAAACCAATGATGGTGTACTATTCTTCCCATGAAACCAATGATGGTGTACTATTCTTTCCATGAAACCAATGATGGTGTACTATTTTTCCATGAAACCAATGATGGTGTACTATTCTTTCCATGAAACCAATGATGGTGTACTATTCTTCCCATGAAACCAATGATGGTGTACTATTCTTCCCATGAAACCAATGATGGTGTACTATTCTTCCCATGAAACCAATGATGGTGTACTATTCTTCCATGAAACCAATGATGGTGTACTATTCTTCCCATGAAACCAATGATGGTGTGTACTATTCTTTCCATGAAACCAATGATGGTGTACTATTCTTCCCATGAAACCAATGATGGTGTACTATTCTTTCCACTAATACCAATGATGGTGTACTATTCTTCCCCCACTAATACCAATGATGGTGTACTATTCTTCCCACTAATACCAATGATGGTGTACTATTCTTCCCACTAATACCAATGATGGTGTACTATTCTTCCCATGAAACCAATGATGGTGTACTATTCTTTCCATGAAACCAATGATGGTGTACTATTCTTCCCATGAAACCAATGATGGTGTACTATTCTTTCCACTAATACCAATGATGGTGTACTATTCTTCCCACTAATACCAATGATGGTGTACTATTCTTCCCACTAATACCAATGATGGTGTACTATTCTTCCCACTAATACCAATGATGGTGTACTATTCTTCCCACTAATACCAATGATGGTGTACTATTCTTCCCACTAATACCAATGATGGGGCACTCCTCCTTCTACTGACCAAAAAACCTGAGGCCATGTTTATTCTCACTGATGCTGGGGCCAGGACATCTTCTATCCTCACTGGCCCTAATCCAGCCCTCCTAAAGTCTGAAGGACAATACACAGGCCCTTTGTTTGAAAAGTTTGGAGACCCCTGATCTAGAAGAACAGGGAATATAAATTGAACTTTCAGCCTGCACTCACCATTAGCCATTTTTGTTTTTGCAAATGCAGTTTACAATAGAATAAAAAACAAATGAAAATATGCATTGTGAGGCCTTATTTACATGGTGTAGAATAGTGAACAACTGTGGGAGGCCATGTTTGTCCACATGGGGTTGCATAGATGTTCCGTCAGTTTCGTTGGTGCCAATTGCGACGCAGTAGCTGCCCAGACACAGCCACTGCTCCCAGTTTGACAGCCATGCAGGTGCGTGGCCCTGAAGGTAGACTGTGCGTTTGGAGCCACATACCCACACCCTGTCAAATTGGAAGCAGTGGCTGTGTCCGTGCAATGGCTGCATCTCAATGGAAATTAATGGGACTGGATGCACGGGAACACCTGTGCATCCCCATCCAGGCAAAAAGGGCCCTCAGAGGGGTGTACGCTATGGTAGGCCTGTGTTAATGAGGCCTAATACTTTGATGTTCAAGATAAACTGCAAGTGCATCAGTATGCGGGAATGCATGTTTCTAAGTGTTGAGGGTTTGTAATGTGTGCCGATGCATTTTTTTTTCCTCTCGTTGATTTCAACAGTTAAAGCTGAACTTCAGGCAAACAGCTTATTAAACAGATATGTGGGGCAATTTTGCCTCCAGTCATGAGAAGTGCCGGGCCAAGGTCACCTAGAGCTCAGGGCGGATTTGCCAAATTGCGTCACCCCCCCAGATGTATGAGCCTTGTGTCAAAGCAAAAATCCCCCCCCCCCCCCCCCAAAAAAAAAATGTATCACTAATCTGCATGCTTATCCCCTAAGAATAAATTCTTCCAGTACAACTCCGCCCCCTACTGAAATCCCCTCTCCAAGCACAAATGTTTGCCATTCCCTTCCCCCCAGCAAAAAAAAAAAATCCCACCTCCTTGTACAAATCCCCAACCTTACAAATTTCCCCTTTGAGCTCCCCCCCCCCATTCCAAATCCTCCCAGCGCAAATGCCCTTCCCTCAATCCTACATTCTAGCACAAATTCCCCCCTCCAATCCCTACTAGTACAAATCATCTCTCCCCCCCCCCCCCCCCCCCCCCCAAAAAAAAAAAAAATCCTGTCCTAGCACCAATCCCCCCCTACAATATCATCTTTTCTAGTACAACACCCCCCCCCCCCCCCCCCCCTCAATCCTCCCTCCTAGCACAAATCCTTTCCCCCCCCTCCCAACACAAATCCCCCCAAGCCACCACTGCTATCACACAAATGTCCCCTCCTGCAACAATGCTTACCCCTGCCACCTCTCCCAAATTCCCCCTCGCAACACAAATCCCCTCCCCCCCAAGCTCCTCGTAGTGCCCCCCACCTCGCATAATACCACAGTGCCCAAGGCAGTCGCCCCTCTTGCCCACCCCTTGTTCCAGCCCTGGTCCTGAGAGATGCACAGCTCCATCGCACAGCACAACCTTGTCTGGTGGGACAGGGATTTCATTGTTTTTCTCTAACACGTACAAGCATACTGATGACCACTTCTGCCCGCAGTTCATGCCCCAGCACTGGGCATTCGTTAAGGAAGTTCAGAAGAGTGCTGATCTGCTGCGGAAGACTGGGCAGGAATGCATCATGCAGAGGAAACTAGCCATGCTGAATGGAGAAGAGCTACCAAAGGATATCCTCACCAAAATCCTACAAGTTGCTGGTATGTGACAAATATCTATCATGCAATGAAGAGTACCTCCTCCTATAAGAAAAAAATGACTGCATTACCTTAATGGAATGTTAATAAATGACAGGACAGTGATTTGGCATTGTAATGCATTCTTAGGGCTTGGGAGGCAAAATATGAGGTCATGCAATTGATAAGACGACAACTGACAACTGTCAGACTTCAGGTCTCTGACACTCCAGCTGTGGAGTCAGACTCCAATAATACTGGATACTAGTTAGATACTAGTGCTAGATAAGGGACAAATACAGATTTCTTTTGCATACATCGTGGGTCACAATGCAGCCTTATTATTTATTACTAACCGGGTTATGTGCCGCCTGCAGGTGAACACAGGCAAAAAGACAGGAGGTCCCCTGCTATATAACCCCTCCCATACTGGAAGGTCCTTTTTTTCCCACTGTCTAAATGTGATGTCACTACTCTGTGATTCTCTGCACGAGGCCAGATTCTGTTCTTTTTGGGTTTTTTTTTAAAGAATCAGGAGACTGGTTGGTATCCGGATCCAACCATTTCATTGCCCAGCAGAATGGTACCCGGACCCATCAATGGAAGAAAGCGGCATGATGCAGGGATGGCCAGTAATGTTGCCGGTCAGCACTGGGCCCTGCATATACAGAAGCCTGCTCAGTAGTATGGCCAAGGTGTTTTTCAATAGGTTCCTATAGTGGTCCAGGGCAGTGAACCCCAGTTGGAGAATCGAGTTCCTGAAGGCTCTCTGAGGCATGGCCCACCATGATGGGTGGAAGCTGGATCCCTGTTGAAAAAGAAGTGATCTCTATACTAGGAATAAGTGCCCCTGGTAGCTTTTTGGTACCCATAAATTGCAATCCCCCTCCAAGTAATGATGAGCTCTGTGACAGTGATGCCTGTTAGGCTATGTGCTCCAGGATGGAACTTGCTGAGCTGTTCAGATCTGAGGTGGGTAGGGCCCACTGCATGACTGAATTGAGTTGTACTGTGTGGCTCTGATGTCATACGGGGAGGCCATATTTTCTCCACATGGAGAACAGCAGATGTGGTGGCAAGCACCATTTCCAGGAGGAGTTGGGCTACATTTTGCACTGGGTGGAGCTTTAAGTTCCCTCTTTGTCCTCAGCTGATATTCCAGGAGTGGAAAATTGTCGCGTAGATTTCCTCAGCTGCTGGGAATGGGCTTCCAACCCAGAAGTGTTCAGGGCATTCTACTGGTGGTGAAGCATGCCAGATGTGGATCTGTTGGCATCCGCGTTCAATGCAAAACTGGACTGGTTTGTTTCAAGGACCAGGGATCCTCAGATGCTTGCAGTGGATGACATCGTGGGACCTGTTCTACCTGGTTTATGCCTACTTTCCGTTGCAGCTTCATCTGCATCTACTCCGCAGGATTTGGGTAGAAGGAATGCTGGAGATTCAATTTGCACCAGTCTGGCCCAGAAGAGCATGGTATTTAGACATCGTGAATATGTCAGTTGACAATTCTTGGACTATTTTACTTCTTCCTGACCGCCTCTCGCAAAGGTCCAGTCTTCCATCTTTCTTTATGGTTGCTAGCTTTACCAGCATGGCTATCAAAGTCAGAATCCTGAAGGATAGGCGAGTTTCTGGTGATCCTATTCCCATGCTTATGAGAGCCTAAAATGCTACTTCAAGAAAAATTTACCACAGGACATGGAAATCCTATGTGGCCTGGTGTGATGCTAAGAAATTGAATCATAAGTATGTTGTTGGACACATCTTGGCTTTCCTCCAAAAGGATGTTGATATGCGCCTGGCTTTAAGTACAATCAAGGGTTAGATTTAGGCTTTGGTTTTCAGAGGCCAATTGCTTCTCATTCCTTGCTGCGTGCCTTTCTACAGGGTGTTGCACATATTGTTTCTTCGGTTAGATCACCTTTGACCTCATATGATCTCAGTTTGGACCATTTTGCGCTGCAGAGATCTCCATTTGAGCCTATTGAGACCTCCCCTTAGTTCTGTTGACATAGAAAGTGGTGTCTGGTTGCCATTACTTGAAGGGGGTTGGAGCTGGCAGAGATTTCTTGCAAGGAGCCATTTCTGGAACGTCCCCATAACAAGGTGGTTCTTTGTCCTCAACTGTCTCTTTTTTTTTTTTTTTTTCTTTGTCTAAGGTGGTTTCAACCTTTCATCTCAAGCAGGACCTTGTTTTACCTTCTTTTTGTCCTAAACTTGGGCACTGTGGGGATAAGGTTCTCCACACTTCAGACATGGTTTGGGCAATCAAAATGTGTATAAAATTAACAGCTGCAATCAGGTCATCAGACTCTTTATTTGTCCTTCCCAAAGGGCCAAAAATAGGGCACATGACTACCAAGTCTACCATTTCCCATTGAATGTGGCAGCTTCTCTCTCGAGCCTATGGTTTGAAAGAAAGACTCCACCAGTCTAGGTGCCCTCTGGGCAATCCGTCATCAAGCTTCAGTGTATGTCAGGGCTGCTGAGGACATGGCTTTTGGTTTCAGTGTTTTGCAAGCAGCTAAGGATGTTGCTTTTGCCTGTCGGTGGTTGCCATGTCTCCCTCCCCTCATGGGCATTGCTTTAGGACATTCCTGTAAGGAATAGTAGAGCTGCTCTGTGTTTCGTGATGTACGACAAAGAAAACTGTGTTTTTGACTTATCTGTAATTTCCATTTCTTGGAGTAGATCACGGGACACAGAGATCTCTATTTTGGGGTGTATGACTTCGTACAAAACTGAGGACCTTCCAGTATGGGAGGGTTTATGTAAAGGAGAGGGTTTCTTGGTCATTTTGCCAATGTCCATTCACCTGTAAGTGGCGAATAACCACATGAGTAAGAAATAGAGCTGCTCTGTGTCCCATGATGTACTCCAAGAAATGGATTTTACAGGTAAAAACAAATGGCAATCACTACAGTATACAACTGGCATTTGCAGCAAGGAGCACAATGCAAAGACAAACATGTCAAAAAATAAACAACAAAGAAAATTCCCAGCTCAGTTGCCAGCCAGCCTGCAACAAACCGAATGAACCTGTCTAACAGTTCACATTAAAATAAGGGGTTCAGTTTGCAAATTTATGCATAAGCTGCAGCGGCCACGTCATGGCACCCCAGTGTACTGCAATGTTAAATCTATACATTTTGAGAGTCTCCTGAGTTGGAGCACATCCAATACTTTTGGCAATATAGTGTGACACACCTCCAAATCATGTGATTTAGGTGCTCCAGTCCCCTTCATGGCCACAGGTATATAAAATCAAGCCCCTAGGCATGCAGACTGCTTCTACAAACATTGGTGAAAGAATGGGTCGCTCTCAGGAGCTCAGTGACTCCAAGCGTGGTCCCGTGATAGGTGGCCACCTGTGCAGCAAGTCCATCTGTGACATTTCCTGGCTACTAAATATTCCACGCTCAACTGTTAGTGGGATTATAACAAAGTGGAAGCAACTGGGAACAACAGCCACTCAGCCACCAAGTGGTAGGCCACGTCACATGACAGGGCGGGGTCAGCGCATGCTGAAGCGCACAGTGCGCAGAAGTCGCCAACTGTCCGCAGAGTCAATAGCTAAAGACCTCCAAACTTGGTGTGGCCTTCAGATGAGCCCAACAACAGTGTGTAAAGAGCTTCATGGAATGGGTTTCCATGGCCGAGCAGCTGCATCCAAGCCTTCCATCGCCAAGTGCAATGCAAAGTGTCTGATGCCGTGGTGTAAAGCACACCGCCACTGGACTCTAGAACAGGGGAGATGTGTTCTCTGGAGTGACCAATCACGCTTCTCTGTCTGGCAATCCGATGGACGTGTCTGGGTTAGGCAATTGCTAGGAGAACGGTAATTTCCTGACTGCATTGCGCCAAGTGTAAAGTTTGGTGGAGGGGGGAATATGGTGTGGGGTTGTTTTTCAGGGGTTGAGCTTGGCCCTCTAGTTCCAGTGCAGGGAACTCCTAAGATGTCAGCATACCAAGACATTGTGGACAATTTCATGCTCCCAACTTTGTGGGAAGAGTTTGGGAATATTGAACCCTATGTAAAGTTCATGTTTGTGTAGAGGCAGACATCCCAATACTTTTTGCAATATAGTATATATAATAATGGATAGATTAAGGGCAGGTATGTCTGGAGGGAGCCCACCCCTCCTTAAAGGTATAGGGATGCACTGCACACCTAACAATAGCACAATGGCAGTGAAGGTGTCCAGGGCATCCCTGCACCAATTAACCAACAGCACAAACAAATGGCAACCACCCCAACCTATAACTGGCCCTTTACAGGTAAATCTAAATTCCAGTTATTTAAAAAAAAATATATTTGCATGTTGATGAGGGGCAGAGGGAACCAAGAAAAGCAAAATATATGCAGACTTCACGATTCTTCATATAGATGGGGTGGGACTTTGGATATTTGTTTATGATGTGAAGCCCAAGGCCTTAAAACTGGAGGGAAATAGGTCAATAGCAACGTTCCATTATCTCATCCATTGTTTCATTCAGGTACACTTTACATTTGGTTAGCTCACAAAAAACAACGACATTGGTAGGAAGAATTCCTTGTATGCAGAATGCAGTCTTTATCATACGATGATGGATTTATCTTTGTCCTCTCCTCTTTGCATTCAGAGAAGGAGGATGGCCTGGACGATGACATCATGCTGGACAATTTCATCACATTCTTCATTGCCGGTGAGTAGATGAGATGTAAGCTGATCCACCACGTCCCGTTCCAGCAGACGGCGAGACTCATTTATCTCTGTGAAACCTTGTCCCTGTGTTGTCAGTCTTGTCATTGTTTCCAGTAGGAGTGAGATAATGGAAGAATCCAGCGTAGTGGTTGGTATGAGGAGTACAATGTTTATATTTCAGACATTGATGAATGAGATTCTGCATTTCATTATTGAAGGTGGTTCTCCTTACTATGGGCACTAGGCAGGAGGGTCCATATGTTTTCCAGCATTCAGCATTTAACCTCCCTGGCGGTATGATTATTTCCGATTTTTTTGTGCTGAAAGCGGTACATTTTTTTGCATGGAAATATGTAGTTTTTTATTGTAGGCTGTAATTTTTAGGAATAACTCACTGAAATCTGTCCGAACAAGAGTCTAGTAAACATCCCGGGTATGATAAAACTTGAAACACGAAATCATAAATTATAATTTAATAAATAATCATAAAAAATAATAATATAATATATTTAATTCAATAATATCATCAAACCAAAAACACTGAAATTTGAAATACAGAGGCAAATTCGCACATCACTGAGCAAAGTCGCAAAATCGTTTTCAGTGTCTGATGATGAATTTCCCCCACGAATCATTATCACTCAATTCCGCAAGTGGTTCTGATTTACTATCGCTGTTCTCTAGCCGGTCTACAACCGCTTTTGACGTAAAGGGACGCTTTTTGGACGCCATGGACTTTTCTAAGTTTCCAGGCAGAAAGAACAGTAAAAATGCAGGCAGGGTGCCGGACAAAGCACTCGGGACACAATGTATGTGAAATGCATTGAAACAGCGATGTTTTACTATATAATAATCATTTAAAAAAAAAAAAATTCAATTTTTTTAAAAATTTCAAATTTGCCGCCGGTTCCGGCGCCCGTACGTCCCGACGTCACAGGGATCGGAACACAGAAGCCGGATGCCGGCTTCGGCCGGAGGAGATGGCCGGGGACGCTGCAGGGGACACATCGTGGGAGCGAAGGACAAGGTAAGTGCTGCAGGGACTCCCTGAGCAACGCTGGATGGTAAGCACGAGTGTAGCTTAGGGTTACCGCTTTTGGTACTGACATTTTACCCCGAGCTACACTCGGGAATACCGCCAGGGGGGTTAAGCACTTAAAATGTCATTAAAGTGATTCTAAAGGCAAAAGTTTTTTTTTACCTTTGCATTAAGTTAACAAAAACCTGTAGTGTCTTCCCCCCCCTCCAGCTCTCACTTATACATACAGTGAAGGAAATAAGTATTTGATCCCCTGCTGATTTTGAATGTTCGCCCCGCACAAAGAAATGATCGGTCTAAAAATCGAATGTTGGTGTATTGTAACACTGAGAGACAGAATAGCAACAAAAAATCCAAAAGAAATTCATGCCTAACAAATGATGACTGATTTGCATGTTCATGAGGGAAATAAGGATTTGATCCCCTTCACAAAACATGACTTAGTACTTGGTGGCAAATCCCTTGTTGGCAATCACAGAGGTCAGACGTTTCCTGGAGTTGGCCCCCAGATTTGCACACATCTCAGGAGGGATTTTGGCCCACTCCTCTTGGCAGATCCTCTCCAAGTCAGTAAGGTTTGGTGGCTGATGTTTGGCAACTCGAACTTTCAGCTCCCTCCACAGATTTTCAGTCGGATGAAGGTATGGAGACCGGCTAGGCCACTCCAGGACCTTAATGTGCTTCTTCTTGAGCCACTCCTTTGTTGCCTTGGCCGTGTGTTTTGGGTCATTGTCATGCTGGAACACCCATCCACAACCCATTTTCAATGCCTTAGCTGAGGGAAGAAGGGTCTCACCCAAGATTTGATGGTACATTGCCCCGTCCATCGTCCCTTTGATTCGGTGCAGTTGTCCTGTCCCCTTAGCAGAAAAACACCCCCAAAGCAGAATGTTTCCACCACGTTTGACAGTTGGGATGGTGTTCTTGGGATCATAGGCAGCATTCCTCCTCCTCCAAACACGGCGAGTTGAGTTGATGCCAAAGAGCTCGATTTTGGTCTCATCTGACCACAACACTTCCACCAGTCCTCCTCCGCATCATTCAGATGTTCAGTGGCAGACTTCAGACGGGCCTGGACATGTGCTTTCTTGAGCAGAGGGACCTTGCGGGCACTGCAGGATTTCAATCCTTGTCGGCGTAGTGTGTTACCAATTGTTTTCTTGGTGACTGTGGTCCCAGCTGCCTGGAGATCATTGACAAGATCCTCACGTGTAGCTCTGGGATGATTCCTCACTGTTCTCATGATCATTGACACTCCAGGACTGAGCTGCACTCTGTGTGTCAATGGACACACAAAGCATAGCTCAAAATCAAGCACACACGAGTGCCCCCATGGCAAGCGGTGGAGATGTGCACAACGGAAAAATGTATATCATTGCAGCATATTCGTTATGTTAGAATGATTCGTTTTGAGAATTTGTTTCGTATATTCGATTCGTATACTCATTACTGGCAAATCGATTAGAAATTTATACATTCAAATTATAAAATTTGCACAGAAGACAGCTTGTATTCCTTCTATTGCGCCCACCTATGAGTGTGTGTTTAGGGATGGATGCCCCTATAACCTGTTCTAACCAGAGATTTGTGCATCTTCCACACAGGCCAAGAGACCACGGCCAACCAGCTGTCCTTCACTGTGATGGAGCTGACCCGACAACCAGAGATAACACAGAGGTGAGTCCCGGAATCATTGTAAGAATATGGTATTGCAGTTGTTTTTGTGGTATAAGGGCCCTGCCACGTTGTCTATGATCCGACACCTGAGAAGCTTGGACATGTGACTCAAACGCAAACATGTTCAGTTCCTGCTGCTGTCAGTCAAATCCTTTGACAAGGATGCAGGGTGGGGGTGGGGGCTGAGCCTTACACACTGTCTATGGACACAGGCAGTGTGGGTCAGAATGGAGCCTGCAGGTGTTCAACGATAGGAAGCAGCTTCCTATGGTGGCACATCATGAAGAAGAGGAGCCAGAAGTGCTGGCGGGGGACCCGAGAAGAGGGGGGGTCTGTGCAATTCCATTACACAGAGTGGGTAAGTATAAACCTGTTTTTCTATTTAAAAAAAAAAAATGCATTTACAATCACTTTAAAGTGTTACTAAACCCTGGACCCTGCATTCACTATATCCCCTCTCTCCCAGACCCCGCATTCACTATATCCCCTCTCCCCAGACCCCGCATTCACTATATCCCCTCTCCCCAGACCCCGCATTCACTATATCCGCTCTCCCCAGACCCTGCATTCACTATATCCGCTCTCCCCAGACCCTGCATTCACTATATCCGCTCTCCCCAGACCCTCATTCACTATATCCGCTCTCCCCAGACCCCGCATTCACTATATCCGCTCTCCCCGGACCCCGCATTCACTATATCCGCTCTCCCCGGACCCTGCATTCACTATATCCACTCTCCCCGGACCCCGCATTCACTATATTTGCTCTCCCCGGACCTGCATTCACTATATCCAGTCCCCCCGGACCCCGCAATCACTATATCTGCTCTCCCCGGACTCCCGCATGACTCACTATATCCGCTCTCCCCGGACCCCGGATTCACTATATCCAGTCCCCCCGGACCCCGCAATGACTACATCCGCTATCCCCGGACTCCGCAATGACTACATCCGCTCTCCCCGGACCCCGCATTCACTATATCCGCTCTCCCCGGACCCTTCATTCACTATATCCGTTCTCCCCGTACCCCGCATTCACTATATCCGCTCTCCCTGTATACCCCGCATTCACTATATCCGCTCTCCCCAGACCCCGCATTCACTAAATCCGCTCTCCCCAGACCCTGCATTCACTATAATCCGCTCTCCCCAGGACCCTGCATTCACTATATCTGCTCTCCCCAGACCCCGCATTCACTGTATCCGCTCTCCCCAGACCCTGCATTCACTATATTTGCTCTCCCTGGACCCTGCATTCACTATATCCATCTCCCCCGAAACCCCGCATTCAGTATATCCATTCTCCCTGGACCCCGCATTCACTATATCTGCTCTCCCCAGACTCTGCATTCACTATATCCGCTCTCCCCGGACCCTGCATTCACTATATCTGCTCTCCCCGGACCCCGCATTCACTATATCAGGTCTCCATGGACCCCGCATTCACTATATCCGCTCTCCCCGGACCCTGCATTCACTATATCTGCTCTCCACACAGACTCCGCATTCACTATATCCGCTCTCCTCAGACCCCGCATTCACTATATTTGCTCTCCCTGGACCCTGCATTCACTGTATCTGTTCTCCCCGAACCCCGCATTCAGTATATCCATTCTCCCCGGACCCCGCATTCAGTATATCCATTCTCCCTGGACCCTGCATTCACTATATCCGCTCTGCCCGGACCCTTTCTCTATATCCACACAGTACACACAATTTGGAATACAATTAGTTTAGTAAATATAAACTGCTAAACACCTTTTCTCATCAGCAGTATAGAGCAGTCTTGTGACTTCTATCAGTGTCCAGCAGAGTACTGGTTAATCTTGTAGGAGGAGTTTTCATTCTCCTCTGACTGTCCTATGAGACTGCATAACCCCTGACTCTCTGTCTGGACAGTGCTGATTGGCCCTGTGCTGTGTAGAGTGCCTCCTAGAGCTTTGTACTATCAGCAGATGGATTGGGGACAGTAGAAGAAGGTGAGGATCAGAGAAGACAGGATCAAACAGTCTTTTTACACAAACAATGCAGAAGATTAACCCCTTAGGTTCCACAGTGAGTATAACAAGCATGCTTTACTGCATCTACAGACTGATTGTACTGTTGGGGGTTTAGTAACACTTTAACTCTAAATACTCCCTAGTGGCTCCCTAGTAGGGCTTTTTTTCCCCCCAAAGAATAGGTGCAGGTTTTCCCCCTTCTGAGTCCCCCCTTGTCTCCGCCCCCTATTTACCACCCAGCACTGCCTTTCTAGAGGATCTAGAACCAAGTGTCATTTTGTGCTTTTAATAACAAGAAAAGCAGTACATTGAATCACCTGAAGCCAGCAACAATAGATCCCCAGCAACAATAGACCTCCCCACCCCACCCCACCAACAATAGACTTCCCCACCCCACCAACAATAGACCTCCCCACCCCACCAACAATAGACCTCCCCACCCCCCTGCAACAATAGACCTCCCCACCCCACCAACAATAGACCTCCCCACCCCACCAACAATAGACCTCCCCACCCCCTGCCAACAATAGACCTCCCCACCCCCCCTGCAACAATAGACCACCCCACCCCACCAACAATAGACCTCCCCACCCCAGCAACAATAGACCTCACCCCACCAACAATAGACCACCCCACCCCACCAACAATAGACCCCCCACCCCACCAACAATAGACCTCCCCACCCCAGCAACAATAGACCACCCCACCAACAATAGACCTCCCCACCCCAGCAACAATAGACCACCCCCACCCTACCAACAATAGACCCCCCACCCCACCAACAGTAGACCTCCCCACCCCACCAACAATAGACCTCCCCACCCCACCAACAATAGACCTCCCCACCCCCCTGCCAACAATAGACCTCCCCACCCCACCAACAATAGACCTCTCAACCCAGCAACAATCGATTCTCATCAACAGTAGCCCTTCCCCCGGCAACAACAGACCTCCCATGCAACAAAATACACCATCAGCAACAATAGATCCACCCCAGCAACAGTAGACACTTGCTAGCAATGAAAGACCTCCTAGCAGCCAGCATCAATAGAACTTCCAGCAACAACAGACCCCTCTCTCAGCAGCAGATCCCTCCCAGCAACAATTGACCCCAATAGTCCCCTACCAGCAACAATAGACCTCCCCAGAAACAATAGATTCTACTGAACCACGATGGATCCCCCCAGCAGCCAGCATCATCAGTCCCTCCAGCACCCCTTGACATTACACACATTTAGTGCTGGAGGTGCCGTAACTATGTTTCCCCCCCCCCCCACTCTCCCAGCTCCTAAGCAGGGGTGGACTGACAACTCATGGGGCCCCCGGGCAATAGTAAATCATGGGACCCCTGTGTCCTTGCCCACACTGAAACCACACCCAAAAAAAGCCTATGAAAGGTACCAGGGGCATCTCATGGGGCCCCCTACTGACCCCGGGCCCTCGGGCAGTGCCCGAGTGCATGAATGGTCAGTCCGCCCCTGCTCCTAAGGCACCAATACTGCCTACCAATCCCGGTGGTCCTGGGCCTATCCTATTCGGTTAACTCTGGCGCCATCTTCTGCCCAGAAAAGGGAAATGTCACCAGGCACATCTGTGCCCTTATCTTGCATAACTTGTTCTTATAAGAGGCGGACTCGGGCACTGCCCGAGGGCCCGGGGTCAGTAAGGGGCCCCATGCAATGCCCCTGGTACCTTTTGTATAGGCTTTTTTTGAGTGTGGGCAAGGACACGGGGGCCCCATGATCCCCTATTGCCCGGGGGCCCCATGAGTTGTCAGTCCGTCCCTGGTTCTTATCATACACTGTGTATATGTAATGCACATTACAGCTGTTACATTAAAAGATGAGAAAATCCGTTAGCAGTTCCCAGCAGCACAGACAACTCTAACAATTGTCACACATTTGATGGACTATCCTGAATATGCTTAAGGTTAAAGATGTTAAGGCGCCTCCTCCAACAATTATAGTGAATGTCGCAAAGAAAAGCAAATGTAAAATTTAAAACATTTTGGCCACTGCCCCTTTGAGTGTACGTCACACTAGAACTATAACCAAAAACTGAAAGTGAGCGCTGACCCTGTGTACTACCATACCATGTATTACATATTCCATAACATAAATCCATAAATAATGGAGATTTTAACAATAATATACAATAAAAATGTATTTGCCAAATGTGCAAATAAAATAATGGTGATTTTAACAACAATGTCCCATGAGACTTATTTACCAACTATATCTCCTATTATTGCAAATAATAAGAAGGGTCACCGGCAGGAGGAAGGAGGTCCTGATCCCTCTATATAGATCTTTGAATCACTAGAGGGATCACCAGCAGGAGGTCCTGATCCATCTATATAGATCTTCATATCACTAGAGGGGTCACCGGCAGGAGGCAGGAGGTCATGATCCCTCTATATAGATTTTATATTACTAGAGGGGTCACCGGCAGGAGGAAGGAGGTCCTGATCCCTCTATATAGATCTTTATATCACTAGAGGGATCACCGGCAGGAGGAAGGAGGTCCTGATTCCTCTATATAGATCTTTATATCACTAGAGGGGTCACCGGCAGGAGGAAGGAGGTCCTGATTCCTCTATATAGATCTTTATATCACTAGAGGGGTCACCAGCAGGAGGAAGGAGGTCCTGATTCCTCTATATAGATCTTTATATCACTAGAGGGGTCACCAGCAGGAGGAAGGAGGTCCTGATTCCTCTGTTTAGATCTTTATATCACTAGAGGGGTCACCAGCAGGAGGAAGGAGGTCCTAATCCTCTATATGAAACTTTATATCACTAGAGGGGTCACCGGCAGGAGGAAGGAGGTCCTGATTCCTCTATATAGATCTTTATATCACTAGAGGGGTCACCAGCAGGAGGAAGGAGGTCCTGATCCTCTATATGAAAACTTTATATCACTAGAGGGGTCACCGGCAGGAGGAAGGAGGTCCTGATTCCTCTATATAGATCTTTCTATCACTAGAGGGGTCACCGGCAGGAGGAGGGAGGTCCTGATTCCTCTATATAGATCTTTATATCACTAGAGGGGTCACCAGAGGGAGGAAGGAGGTCCTGATTTCTCTATATAGATCTTTAGGTATTACTAGAAGGGTCACCAGCAGGAGGAAGAAGGTCCGGATTCCTCCACAGAGATCTTTAGTTATCACTAGAGGGGTCACCATCAGGAGGAAGGAGGTCCTGATTCCTCTATATAGATCTTTATATCACTAGAGGGGTCACCAGCAGGAGGAAGGAGGTCCTGATTCCTCTATATGGATCTTTATATCACTAGAAGGGGGAAAGGTCTGGAGGATAAAACGTATCAGGAGAGACATTACATGTACAGTCTGGAGGAAAGAAGGGAAAGGGGAGCCATGACTCAAACCTGTAAATACATCAAGGGGGTGAAAAAGGTTCAGGAGGGCAGGATTTTCAACATGAAACTGAAACAATTGAGTCCTGTCCGTGATACTTTTTTTATTTGCACTAACATACAATTTTCAGGACAAGTTTTCGGGGTATGTCCCCTTCTTCAAGGTCCAAACAGTACTACGGACAGTCTTCAATTTGTTTCTGTCGCAAGTGCACTAATGCAGCTACAATCACCTCAAGCAACATGAAACTAAAATCAAGAACACGGGGACATGACCATAAACTAACTGGAGGAAAGTTCAAAACTAATCTCAGAAACTACTATGTTACTGAAAGAGTAGTTGAGGCTTGGAACAAACTTCCATCAGAGGAAGCGAGCCAGTCAACAGTAAATAGCTTCAAACATGCTTGGGACAAGCATAGATCTATACCCAGCAGGGAGGGGTGGAAGGACCATTTGGAAACTCGGGCACTGCCTGAGGGTCCGGGGTCCGTAGGGGGCCCCATGAGATGCCCCTGGTACCTTTTTCATAGGCTTTTTTGAGTTTGGGCAAGGACACAGGGGCCCCATGATCCCCTGTTGCCCAGGGGCCCCATGAGTTGTCAGTCCGCCCCTGATACCCAGACAAAAGACCCCCTTCCCCCCAAAAAAATGGCCAGACTCAATGGACCACTCGGTCTTTTTCTGCCGTCACTTTTTTATGTTTCAAATAAATAGTGCAACAAACACAATTTTTTAAAAAATGTGAGACGAAAAGTACAAGGCAAAAAGATTTGTCAAAAAGTTCCCAAGCACCGTTTTGCCAGTAGAAAGTGCAATACTCAATCTGTCTTCCAATGCCAACCGTGTTCCACCAACGTGTGTAGTCAGCTAAGGCACTCACCAGAACACATGGGCTAACAAAGTAGCCAGCAGGCTTGTAAAATCAAAGAGATAATAGAACATAACTATGAATTCTTATACTGTACCGCGCTCCAATGTTATCAACCTTTTGTGATTGACCTTTTTTGATTGTGTGAATATCTTAATATACCACCTATAGTCCAATAATTACTTACTTCTATGGTGCTTAAATATACAATTAACATAAATTAATTTATAAATGTGAATTAAAAAATTGTATGTGATTATAACAAATATTAAAAAAATTAATGAAAAAATTGGAACAATTCTATGTGAATAAAATTAATAAAAAAAAAAAAAAATTAATAAAACATTAATAAAAAATGGGAATGTCAATTATTTTCTTTGAATTTGAGATGGTGTTGTTATTCAATTTAGTTTATGTGATAAGTCTGTGTTGGCAGCTTGAACCTCTCCCTCTTGTCTCCTCTCCTCAGCTCAGCCTTCTCAATTGTGCTTTCTTCACTGGCTGCTTTGTTTATTCCTCCATATATGGAACATGCAGAGAAGGGAAAAGAAACATAGTGTCTTATCCGGGATATATAAGTGATTTATTGCTCTTTGATCTCCCACTCACATTGTGTAAATGTAAATAACGCTTTGCATACAATGTATCCAGACCATGCTTCAGACAGCCTGGCTGATGTGTTTGTTTTTATTAATTTTTTTTTTTTTTTTTTATTATTATTAATTTTATTCACATAGAATTGACATTCCAATTTTTTCATTAATTTTTTTAATATGTGTTATAATCACATACAATTTTTTAATTCACATTTATAAATTAATTTATGTTAATTGTATATTTAAGCACCATAGAAGTAAGTAATGATTGGATTATAGGTGGTATATTAAGATATTCACACAATCAAAAAAGGTCAATCACAAAAGGTTGATAACATTGGAGCGCGGTACAGTATAAGAATTCATAGTTTATATTTATACACCTAGAGAGGGTGTAATTAGTGCCTAGCGATCTAATATTTAATAAATATTCACTTAAGCACACAATTAACACTAATAATAGAGTAAGTTAACTCCTGGTGGCTCACAAAAAACTATTTTATTATAATAGAACATAACTGCCCACCTAACTGATCCAACAGTTGATTTTACAAGCCTGCTGGCTACTTTGTTAGCCCATGTGTTCTGGTGAGTGCCTTAGTTGACTACACACGTTGGTGGAACACGGTTGGCATTGGAAGACAGGGATTGAGTATTGCACTTTCCACTGGCAAAACGGTGCTTGGGGACTTTTTGACACACCTTTTATCTTGTACTTTTCGTCTCACAAAGGGAGAGCTCCCAGGGAGCGCACAGCATCGCAGCACACAGATCGCTGTACGGGACCTCTGTGCGAGGTCCCGATTCATGTGATCACTGATTGAGCCAAGAGTAGTAAAACAAGATGTCACTTCTGACATCATTGCTTACTACTAAGGAAATCTGTGAATGATCACCAAGGTCACAAGGTACAGAGCTATTCACAACAGCCTTGTACCATGTGACAAGCTGTGAACAATCACAGATCACACAGTATTTCACAATTGCAGGAATGCAGCCAGAGAGAAGGAAACATTATTGCTTTTGCAGCCTTTGTGTGTGTAAAAGCAATCCATGTAAAAAAAGAAAAAAATCATCATCCCCAAGTAGTACAGTGTACTGCTACGGTGACCGTATGTTAAAAAAAAAAAAAAAACAACAAATAATATAAAATTAAAAAATGTTTGAACAATTATTTTTGGTTATAAACTAATTTGGGTTTTTTTTTTTTTTTTTTTTAATTTACTAAAAAGGATAGCTGAATACATTTTGGCCAAGATTTATGAAGAAAGATTATTTATTTGCAACATTTTAAAATAAAAATATATTTTTTTTCCAAATTTTTGGACTATTTCATTTATAAAATAAAAAAAAAAAATCCCAGTGGTGAATAAATACCACCAAAATAAAGTTTTATCTGTCTCAAAAAAAAATACTAAAAAATTCATATGGGTACAGTTGTTGCATGACCGCGATAGCAATTGTCATTCAAAGTGTGATAGCGCTGAAAGCTGAAAATTGGCCTGGACTGGAAGGGGGGGAAAGTGTCCGGACTGGAAGGGGGGGAAGGGGGGTGTCCGGACTGGAAGGGGGGGAAAGTGTCCGGACTGGAAGGGGGGGGAAAAGTGTCCGGACTGGAAGGGGGGTGAAAGTGTCCGGACTGGAAGGAGGTGAAAGTGTCCGGACTGGAAGGGGGGGAAAGTGTCCCGGACTGGAAGGGGGGAAAGTGTCCCGGACTGGAAGGGGGTGAAAGTGTCCGGACTGGAAGGGGGGGTGTCCGGAAAGTGTCCGGACTGGAAGGGGGGGAAAGTGTCCGGACTGGAAGGGGGGGAAAGTGTCCGGACTGGAAGGGGGTGAAAGTGTCCGGACTGGAAGAGGGGGGAAAGTGTCCGGACTTGAAGTGGTTAAAATCCCCATTAATTATTGAATGTTTTGATGCAATATGTATTAGGTGGCATGGCAATACACAGGGTCAGCGCTCACTTTCAGTTTTTGTTTATAGATCTAGTATCCTGGACATCGGAGTCTCAAATCATCGGATTCTCACAGAATCACACAATCTCTCAATTACCGGACTATGCCGTATTTAGCAGAGCAGGTGAAGCTGTGTGCAGTCAGGAGATTTGGGATCCGGGTGTACAGTGGAAGATTGGCACAATTTTTGGGGAACCGTTGCACTGCGGGGGGGGACTACCATCTCGGGTTACATGATTCTTACAGCATTCTACTGTTTTCAGGCTGCGGGAGGAAATAGATGACATCATCGGCTTTAAAACGTGAAATCAGCTTTGAAGACATCTCAAACCTCAGCTACATGGCACAGGTAGGAGTCTCAGCTGATTACGGGGGATGGTCTCAGAAAATCCATCTCTGAAATGCTGGTGTGGGATGGATTTCAGACTGTCAGCATTCTGAAGTAAACACAGATTTCAATAGATAAAAGTGATAATAAATGTTTTTTTTTTCTTAAAAGAACAAACATGTCATACTTACCTGCTGTGTGCAGTGGTTTTGCACAGTCACCCTGATTCTCCTCTTCTGGGGTCCCCTGCTGTTTTGCACAGTCACCCTGATTCTCCTCTTCTGGGGTCCCCTGCTGGTGCTCCTGGCTCCTCCTTCCTGTCTAGTGCCCCCATAGCAAGTAGCTTGCTATGGGGGTACTTAAACAGGCTTGTTCCTGAGCCGCTGCACTGTGTGTCCATTCACACACACAATGCGGCTCAACCCCTTCCTCCCCATTCTCTCCTCATTGGCTCACTGGTTGTGAATGACAGTATTGAGAGCCAATGGGGACAGAGAGTCCCAGGAGAGCTGCTACTCTAATGCACATTAATGGATCGGGCTCAGGTAAGTATGGGGCAGGGGCTGGGGTATTGTGTGACTGTGATGGGGGCAGTGTACGCTCCTCTGGTGCAGAGACTGATGTGACTGGCTCAGTGATCCCTGTACAGCACTGCGGTATATGTCAGAACTAACAATAAATGTATAATAATAATAGTGTGTGACTGTGGGGGGAGGGGACATTAGAGTGTAAGCTCCTCTGGTACAGATACTGATGGGACTGTGGGGGAGGGGGACATTAGAGTGTAAGCTCCTCTGGTACAGAGACTGATATGACTGGCTCAGTGTTCTCTGTACAGCACTGCGGTATATGTCAGAGCTATATAATGTATAATAAGAATAGGGTGTCACTGTGGGGGGGCAGACAACATTAGAGTGTAAGCTCTTCTGGTGCAGAGACCAAAATGAATTCTGTGCATCTCATCTTTTTTAGGTTCTGAAAGAGTCTCTGCGTCTTTACCCGCCGGCTCCAGGAACATCCCGTTATCTAAAAAATGATGAAGAGATTGCTGGAATCCACATCCCGGGTGGAGTGCCAATAGTTGTGAGTATAACCAGGATGCTGATGACCGGTGGATGGAGGAAGAATGCCCTGTGCCTATTCGCTCAATTCCCCTTTCCCTGTTTGTATTGCTGACAAGGCATCATGGAGTGTTCGGATAAAGCAGTCCGTTTCTGAGCGGAAGGATGAGATTGGCTGCTGTAGGACTGTAGCCCCCCCATACATGAAGCCCAGCAGGGACCCTTCATACACCCAGCACTGCGGAATACCGGGGCTCTTTCTGCACTTTATTTTATGCTACTGATATACTTCACAGCCTAGCAAAACACATGTCCAGCTAGATACATGGTACATGTGTGCCCACCGAGAGGTCACCTTCCCCTCCTCCTAATGTTATATATCCAACCTTCTCCAGTCTCCCCTGTGCTTCCTACAGCCCAAAACTGTCCTCTGGATTCTAGAGATTTATACTGGAACAAATGTAGAATTGCACTGCATTTCTCCTTTATATACATACGGAAATTTTACTTGCTTTTGCAGCTGCCTCTTGACATTGAGGGGTTGAGTTTCTGAGCTTAAAGTGTTACTAAGCCCACAACAGTACAATCAGTCTGTAGATGCAGTAAAGCATGCTTGTTATACTCACTGCGGAACCTAAGGGGTTAATTCTGTGCATTGTGTAAAACCACTGGTTGATCCTGTCTTCTCTGATCCTCCCCTTCTTCCAGTGGCTCCCTCTTATCTCCTGAGAAGAGATATCGTGTGGAGTCACTGTGCACATGCTCAGTTTGTGTATTGCTAAAGAGGTGTTTTTGTTTTGTTTTTTTCTTGGGAGAGTGCATTTGATCAGCACTGTCCAGACAGAGGTCAGGGATTCTGCATCCTCCTAAAGCAAAATTAAAACTCCTCCTACAAGCTTTAACCAGTGCTCTGCCAGACACTGATAGAAATCACAAGACCACTATAAAACTGCTGATGACAAAAAGGCATTTAGCAGTTTATATTTACTAAAATAAATTGCATTTCCATGTTCTGCGTACTGTGGGAGAGCAGATATAGTGAATGCGGGGTCCGGGGAGAGCGGATATAGTGAATGCGGGGTCCGGGGAGAGCGGATATAGTGAATGCAGGGTCCAGGAGACCAGATATAGTGAATGCGGGGTCCAGGGAGAGTGGATATAGTGAATAATGGGGTCCGTGGAGACCAGATATAGTGAATGCAGGGTCCGGGGAGAGCGGATGTAATGAATGCAGGGTCCGGGGAGAGTAGAGCGAATACGGGGTCCTGGGAAAGCGGATATAGTGAATGCAGGGTCCGGGGAGAGTGGATGTAATGAATGCAGGGTCCGGGGAGAGCGAATACGGGGTCCTGGAAAAGTGGATATAGTGAATGCGGGGTCTGGGGAGAGCGGATGTGGTGAATGCGGGATCCGGGGAGAGCGGATGTTGTGAATGCGGGATCCGGGGAAAGCGGATGTGGTGAATGCGGGGTCCGGGGAGAGCGGATGTGGTGAATGCGGGGTCCGGGGAGAGCGGATGTGGTGAATGCGGGGTCCGGGGAGAGCGGATGTGGTGAATGCGGGGTCCGGGGAGAGCGGATGTGGTGAATGCGGGATCCGGGGAGAGCGGATGTGGTGAATTCAGAGTCGGGTCCGGGAAGAGCGGATGTGGTGAATGCGGGGTCCGGGGAGAGCGGATGTGGTGAATTTAGAGTCGGGTCCGGGAAGAGCGGATGTGGTGAATGCGGGATCCGGGGAGAGCGGATGTGGTGAATGCGGGATCCGGGGAGAGCGGATGTGGTGAATTCAGAGTCGGGTCCGGGGAGAGCGGATGTGGTGAATTCCGGGAAGAGCGGATGTGGTGAATGCGGGGTCCGGGGAGAGCGGATGTGGGTGAATGCGGGGTCCGGGGAGAGCGGATGTGGTGAATGCGGGGTCCGGGGAGAGCGGATGTGGTGAATGCGGGATCCGGGGGGGGTGAGCGGATGTGGTGAATTCAGAGTCGGGTCCGGGAAGAGCGGATGTGGTGAATGCGGGATCCGGGGAGAGCGGATGTGGTGGTGAATGCGGGATCCGGGGAGAGCGGATGTGGTGAATTCAGAGTCGGGTCCGGGGAGAGCGGATGTGGTGAATTCCGGGAAGAGCGGATGTGGTGAGTGCGGGGTCCGGGGAGAGCGGATGTGGTGAGTGCGGGGTCCGGGGAGAGCGGATGTGGTGAGTGCGGGGTCCGGGGGGAGCGGATGTGGTGAGTGCGGGGTCCGGGAGGAGCGGATGTGGTGAGTGCGGGGTCCGGGGGGAGCGGATGTGGTGAGTGCGGGGTCCGGGGGGAGCGGATGTAGTGAGTGCGGGGTCCGGGGGGAGCGGATGTAGTGAGTGCGGGGTCCGGGGGGGAGCGGATGTAGTGAGTGCGGGGTCCGGGGGGAGCGGATGTAGTGAGTGCGGGGTCCGGGGGGAGCGGATGTAGTGAGTGCGGGGTCCGGGGGGAGCGGATGTAGTGAGTGCGGGGTCCGGGGGGAGCGGATGTAGTGAGTGCGGGGTCCGGGGGGGAGCGGATGTAGTGAGTGCGGGTCCGGGGGAGCGGATGTAGTGAGTGCGGGGTCCGGGGGGAGCGGATGTAGTGAGTGCCGGGGTCCGGGGAGGGAGAGCGGATGTAGTGAGTGCCGGGTCCGGGGAGAGCGGATGTAGTGAGTGCCGGGTCCCGGGGAGAGCGGATGTAGTGAGTGCCGGGTGTCCGGGGAGAGCGGATGTAGTGAGTGCCGGGTCCGGGGGGACCGGATGTAGTGAATGCCGGGTCCCGGGGGACCGGATGTAGTGAATGCCGGGTCCGGGGAGAGCGGATGTAGTGAATGCCGGTTCCGGGGAGAGCGGATGTAGTGAATGCCGGTTCCGGGGAGAGCGGATATAGTGAATGCGGGGTCCGGGGTTTAGTAACACTTTAATGTCCATCAGTTTTGAAGCATACCTCCAGTGTGTCAACTATTTAAAGGGACATTAAACATGGATTTCGGCTTTAATTCTACTGAACGACTACATCATATATGTCAATTTTTATTTAGTTCCACATTAATGTTGGGATTTTGCATTACACCAATCTTCACGAGTTTCTTCTTTCTACCAGCAGCCAGACTGGGTAGTAATAATGTTATATTAATGATCAAATCTAGAAATGTAGAATTTTAGATCTGATTTTATTTTGAGCTGTCCTACTTTTTTCCTTTTATTGGACTCGGTGTCTGAGGTGACTTTTTATTGCTTTTTATTTATTACATCATTGCCACCAACCAAATCACAACTGTCTCCAGTTCAACACGTACATCATGGGTCGGATGGAAAAATTCTTCCCAGATCCCTTTAAGTTTGACCCGGAAAGATTCCATCCTTCTGCTGCAAAGTGAGTAACAGATAAAACTTCAGCTTTGATAACCTCCTTCTTATCTGTTTATATTTTGGCTTTCCTGGCCCCTCCTTCTTCATCAACATGCTAATGACCATTCTTAACAAAACCTTTGTGTTCATTATATACCTTCTTTTACTCAGTGATTTTATCACTGCATCTCTGTGCTTCTCAATGCAATGTGGGCAGATTATGGCTGGTTGGAGGGGCCAGCAGGGTGCTGTACACAGCTTCCTGAAAACATCACTGCACCCTGTCTCAGTACTTCTCTCAAGAACCCTCAGTCCTGTACAAGCAGTGGGATGGCTGTTGGGAGGAGTTATGGAAATCTTACAATGCCTTGATGCATGGGTGTCAGTCTGGGGGAGTGGGGCAGGCCTGCCTTAATGCATGGACACTGCCCAGGGGCCACAGGTGCATGAGGGGCCAATGATTATCTTGTATTATATCAAACGTGGTAACTGTCCTGGATTTGCTGGGACAGTCATGCTTTTTACTAAAGCTGTTGCAGGATGGCCCCAGAGGAGTTTTGCAAATATCAAAATGCCCTGATGGGTGGGTGTCAGTCTGGGGGAGTTGGTGCATCCTTGTTACTGCCCATATATAATGCTGGCCCTCCATGATTCAAAGAACTGAAATCCAATGAATGAAAGGGGTGAGCAAAAGACAGGCTGGGGAGGAAAGGACTTGATGATGCTGGATGTTTTCATGCCTTTTGTATGTCTTCCGTGTTGCAGGCCATACTACTGTTACTTCCCCTTTGCGCTGGGTCCGCGCGCTCCTGTCTGGGCCAGGTGTTTTCTCAGGTACGTCAAGTAGAATGGGTGATATTAGGTTTCGGCTTGTACAGTTCACAATCCATAATTGCCCCGATTCTAGATCTGTACAATTCCAGATATATCTGTGTGCAAAGATTCAGACAGATCAATATCTGAGACCCATTACCTCTCCGGCCGTGCACACTGCTTCTATGAGACGGAAATGGAAGAAATAATATTGTATAAAAGGAAGTACGGGGCTTCTTTACATGTAATAGCACAGCAAGCGGTCCTCTCTTGTATTAGGAGAGGTATAGACTCCAGAGAGAGAGAGATCATATCATCCCCCCCCCCCCCCGGTACAAATCATTAGTAACACCTCATCTGGAATATGCAGTTCAGTTTTGGGCACCAATTCACAAAAAGAACATTGGGGAACTGGAGGAAGTACAGAGAAGGGCAACCAAACTGATAAGAGGCATGGAGGAGATCAGCTTATGAGGAAAGATTAGAGGAACTGAATGTATTCTTCTCTTGAGAAGAGGAGATTAAGGGGGGATATGATCTCCATGTATAATACATAAGAGGGGATATGATCACCGTGTATTAATACATAAGGGGGGGATATGGTCTCCGTGTATAATACATAAGGGGGATATGATCTCCGTGTATAATACATAAGGGGGGATATGATCTCCATGTATAATACATAAGGGGGATATGATCACCATGTATAATACATAAGGGGGGGGGGGGGATATGATCTCCATGTATAATACATAAGGGGGGGGGGATATGATCACCATGTATAATACATAAGGGGATATGATCTCCATGTATAATACATAAGGGGGGGGGGGGGGATATGATCTCCATGTATAATACATAAGGGGGATATGATCACCGTGTATAATACAATAAGGGGGGGGATATGATCACCGTGTATAATACATAAGGGGGGGGATATGATCACCGTTGTATAATACATAAGGGGGGGATATGATCTCCGTGTATAATACATAAGGGGGGATATGATCTCCGTGTATAATACATAAGGGGGATATGATCTCCATGTATAATACATAAGGGGGGGGGGGGGATCCACGTGTATAATACATAAGGGGGATATGATCACCGTGTATAATACATAAGGGGGGATATGATCTCCGTGTATT